AGTTTTGTTGAGAAAAATAACTGAGTATTAATTGAAGTAATAAGATGTTGAGAAGCAATTCTTTATGGGTCTCTTGCATTTTTGTATGTATTAATGGCCAAGGCATTGAATAACTTTTTTTAAAAAATGTCTTTTCAAGGTGTTTGTCTGGCAAACAACCTTGGGAAACCGAGCAAAGGGTAGGTATGCCTACCTCCCAACTGTGAAATACTCAGGATCCCCCAAGCAGTGCTCCTGTCATGTTCTGGGAACCAGTGAAAGAAAATGTTGATGCTATGACTGCATTAATGTGAATAATAAAGTTTTTGTCTCTCATTCAAGAGTTGCATATCTTCTGCCAGCTCCCATAAAACTGTGACTGAGTTGCTTATGAGCTAGCATGTAGGGTAAAATCTTAGTCCTTCAGAGGTTGTGACAGCTTGTTAATGGGGATTGGGTATAGAGGAAGACATGACTTCCTGAAAAAGAAAGAATGGGAAGTCTTCTGATGGATTAAAGGGATTTGAGGGAAGAAAATGGAAGTTAGTAGCAAACCTACTGACCAGATTTTATAGTCAATTGAGGAAAATATGGTCTTGTGTTTTACTGACTATTAATGATGAGAAACTGGGAAGATGGTTGCAGTCTGGTTTCCAGGAAGAAGGTTCAAGGGTTGAGCAGTGCCTTGATTATGTTAACTTTCCTAGGGGCAGGGGAACTCCCTTGGCTATCTGGTGGACAGCCTCAGGTCCACACATTGTAACAACTAGCACTAAGATGAATACTGTGTGGACTGAAGATTCTCTTCCTCTTTGCATCAACAGTTACTAGAATTATAGAAGAAATAAATTTGGCCAATGTTACAAAAAAAAATTGGGTGAATCATAAGAACTTTGGTTCAGTTGGGAGTTGAGGGTATGGGATGAGCAATGATTGTGATAGAGGAATAGCAGTAACTGGACCTTCTTACAACTCTGCCTGTCCTGCAGTCTGTCACGGTAAACTTAGATATAATTGGAGATGACAGAAAAAGGTCTCTGAGTCTGTGAGTTCTGGCTGCTGTACAGAAACTTTGGCCCTCTTGGAAAGATTTGGCTGGGATAGACTCTATGAGGAACCATAGATGAGTCAGTTATTGACTGGTATCGGGGAATCCTGCTGCCCCAGATTGTGTTTATACTGCTGAAAGGTAACATATTGGAGAATGAGAAGGGAGCCAAAGAATTATAAATTTTATGGTCAGCCTTGCCACTTTGCAAAACTCCCTTAGCCAATATATTGTGACTGGATGAAGAGTTATTATCTTGATGGATCATGTGCAAGTCAAGCCCATGTCATCCAGAGGGAACAACCCCCACCCCATTATCTTGCTGGGAACCAATGCAATTGTGGTTGCTGAGTCCAGGGGTTCCCCAGGTTAAAATCAGTAGTGTTAGTAATGATGATTTTATGTATAATGTGTTCATTTGATTGAGCTGGTGAGCAGCTCCCTTGCTGCCCAAAATGGAAAGTAAAGGTGCCTTACTGATAAGGAACGAATCTCTCCCTCTGTGCCCCTATATCATTTCTAATCTTTCTCCATCTGTTTTAAGGAAAAAGATGATTATTAGTTCATCAAGATCATCCATCTGAGTGTGCCGGGGAACTTTGGGGAGAGGGAGGACTCAGACATTTTTGTCTGTCACAGAAACGTGTCAAAGTCACCATCCTACTCAGTCCCAGAGGTGGGAGGCCTGTCTTCAACTGATGAGGTTTGGGCAGTATTCACAATGGGAAAAGAGAATCAAAGTAACCTTTTGGATGGGGTTGTTGAAGCCTCAACAATATGTTGTTGATTCCGCATCTGAACATACAGTAAAAATTGATGTGTGATGGGATTGTAGTTCTGTTCCATAAGTGCCAGAGGGGATCATCTCAATTAAGAAAAGCTGCATATAATGAAGTGAAGAATCCCTTGGGAATCCCTGAATCCTTCTGACCATTTTGAGCTACAAGCCTCTATGACTGGTGATCTTGCTAATTGGAACTTTTGACAAAGTCAGGCAGCATCCACTTGGAGGTGCTGTTTAGGAATTTGGACCCCTCCCTGCCCTGACATAGCTACCAGGTATCTTTTGAAAATCAGGTATTATTTTGCTATTGAGCTCTTGCTGAAATTGGACACCTGAGTCATGGAGGCATTTGAACTCTATGGCCTATTTTCATTTTGGAAATGACTAACAAGGTAGCACAACCTCAATAATCAAATGGAAATGGTATATTCAAGAAAGTGGTAAGCCTGTCCCCAGTGCAATCTCAGCTCTACACACAAAAAGTAGCAGTTGCCCTCTGCTGCCCACTCCACTGCCTAAAGCAAAGCTATTAGTTCAGTGGCACGCTTCTATTCACAGTGCTTTTCCTGAGGCCTTGGCTTGGTTGGATGATGTTTTGGCTAAGCTGAAACCTAATCATGTGCACCGGGATGCTGTAGTTTTATCTTTGTTAACAGTTGTGCAGAGCTAAAAATGGGTGTGATCACTCTACCCACTCAGGAGAACTTAAGGATATTACCATTTTTTAAAACTGACTTTGGAATGTGGTCTGTGCACTAGCTTATTTGCCATTTGGACATACATAGACTGAAAAATCAAAGACACATCTTTGGGTGCTAGGAATTGTACTGATTGAATCAGATGAGGCCCACATTCTAATGAAGTCCCCTAGAATCAAACTGCTGATCAACTTCAATCACTTAAGTTACCATCATTTGCTATCTGGATCCATCATAGTAGTCAGCATGGCAACATATACACTATCATAAAATGGGTACAAAGTAAATGCCTCTCAGTTTCTGGTGCAGAGTCTCTACTGCATGGGATTTATTCAGTTCATCGAGTCCAGGACCCTTCAGAGGAGGAGGGGGCATGGCTGATATCAATAATGCTGGCTGATTTTATCCTACTACTTGTAGTTCTGTGGAGAGTAGACTTAATTAAATGTCTTATAAGATAGATTGAACAGATTTGGTCCCAGGCTGTGTTTATAATTGCAGAAGCCAACAGAGTGGCTTACTAATTGGGAAAATTTGCCATATATCAAGACAGTATTAAAATGAAGAGTGGATACTATTGGAAAATAATTCTTCATACATGTCTTAAATTTCTGTATGTCTGCAAGCAGAGTTACAATTGCCTTGGCTCCAAACTATGTTTTCAAGAATTTTTGTATTGGACGGGGTGCCTGGGTGGCTCAGTCGGTTAAGTGTCTGACTCTTGATTTCAGCTCAGATCATGATCTCATGGTGGTGGAATTGAGCCAGACATTGGGCTCTGCATTGGGGCATGGAGTCTTCCTAAGATTCTCTCTCTTCTTCTCCCTCTGCCCCTCCCACACTTGGGATTGCTCTCTCTCTCTCTCTCTCTCTCTCTCTCTCTCTCTCCAAAAAAATAATAAAAGAAGAAAATAATGTTTATACTAGGAACAGCTTTTTTTTTCTTGGAACAGCTTTAAATGATAGAAGGCTTCTTCTAGAGCAAAGGATAAGTGTGCTTAAAGTCTTAGAAGACACAGCTAATGTATTCCTACAAAGCAAAAGGAAGGCATGCTCATAGTCTAACAACCATGCTTACCCCTATAGCCATGGAAAGATCATGCTTACACCTATTACCAAAGGATCAGATTCACTGTGCTTGGTGTTCCTTGTTCCTTTCCTGTAATGCAACCCATTGCTTGTGCAAGTGTCAGTCATCTTTGTTTCTCCCTGTAGGAGTTGGGGCTTGAGGAACCAGCCACAAAGGCTGGTCCTCTAGCTACTGCTATTGCTGTGAGTACTGTGAGTAATCAGCACTTTTTCCCCCTCTGATCCAGGTGTCTTGTGCCTTCCACCAGCATCCATGCAGCCTCAATAGTTAGTTTACATGTAGGCTAAAATTTCAGACCCTTAACCATTCTTCACAATTAGTAACTATAAAAGATACACCTCTAATGTAAATGATCTTAAAGAGTTGACATTTTTGTCCATATAAAGTATAAAGTGATTGCATCTTATTGGCATGATGTTGTTATTTAAGCAGTGATTCAAAGAAAGTCTCCATTTTTGTTGTTGTTGTTGATTTACTTTTATTTTTGTTTGGTCTTTATTAGCTTTCAAGTTGGCCATGCTCCTCTGCATCAGCTTACTGAAAGGGAAGGAGCATGGAGGGATGTGCATGGGATATTTTCATGGGCCAAACCTAAATGTGGTGCATATCATTCACCCTTGCATTCCATTGATTTGAATTTATTCCGATATAACCATTACATAGGGGAGAAATGTAGTCCAGTCCTTTGTCCATGAAGAAGAGAAATAGTTTGGGGGAAAATCTTTTCCACAGATGGAAGGTATTTCTAAGCAGCAGAAACCTCATGTATACAGACATGAAAGTGTAGAAGACATGATTTTGGCCTGGCTAAAGTCAGAAGATGCATGAAGTAGAGACAGTGGTAGATGATGAGAGGCTTGACATGAATCATCTATCTGAGACTAGATTGCTCTAAAGGTGATGGCTGGTTGCTGAAAGATTTTAATCATGGAGAAACAATATTAGGAACATTACCTACAAAGATAAAGCAATGGACTGGCTGAGAAAAAAATGGCAATTTTAATGAAGTCAGTGACAGAAGAGATTGACTAACATAATCAACAAGTAATTACTGAGCACAGTCTAAGTGTTACACATTGTGCCAGGTGCTGGGTATATGCCAAAATAAAACCAGTAATAAATGGACCCCTTAGATGTAAGTGGTAAGAAGGGTAAAGAATAGCATGTGGTCTGGGAATGTCTGAGAAGAGTCATGAGGTGGGGAAAATAATGAGCTCAGTCTTGAATCATTTCTGTGTAGTTGTGCAGCATTGAGGTGAATTTTGTCCAGTAGACATTGTTTATGTATAGCTCAAGCCCCTATGAGAAATTAATACAGAGATAGAAATGAATAGAAAAAGGCTAAAGAACACCAAGAAAGGGCTCTTACATCATACATATTCAAGTGTTACTTGATTGTGTTTATTTATTTATGTATGTATGTTGCTGTTAACAAGGAGAACACATTTTAACTTTCTTCAGACTTCTCAGATACACTGGTAGAGCGAATATTTTTCCATGCCTAGAAAGAAAAAATAATAGCATTATATTCCAGAAGAAATCTTCACAAATCACTTCACAAGTGAGTTCATACTCTGCTTTTGTTGTGGGTGAGAGAGAACTTGCCTTGTAGGAATGGAGGTCTCCGTCCTTGGATTCCCCATGGGAAGATTTACAAGGGGATCTGTGCTCATGCTCAGATAAAGACAGCCAGAAGGAGAGTAGCAAGCACAAAGCAATTTTATTAAAGCAAAATACACTCCCAAGGTGGGAGAGCAGCCAGGTTTCAGGAGGTGGAACCAGCCCTCAGGTTGTTCTTGAGTTGGATACTACTGGGTCTCTCTGGGATGGGGATGCTGTAAGGTACAGTGGGGTGGTCTCTAATGGAGGCTGCTTCTAGTCATTAGGAGAACTCCCCCCACAGGGAGTTGGAAGGGGGAATTTTTGATCCTACAAGGTTTGTGGAATCATCATGCCAGCCTTTGTCCATCCAGCAGCGCTGTGTATGTGTAATGCAGATTCATTATAATGAGTGTAGAGGCTCTCCTGGAGCAAAGGTGGAGTAGCAGAGGACAAGTTCTATACCTGTGGCCTTTTGGTCTATCAGCCCCAAGGTCTTAGGAGCTATCAGATCAAGATGTTGTGCTCCCTGGCTTTAAATGTGTAGCTTATTTGTCACCATCCTTGCCTCCAGCTCCTGTCTCTATCATTCCTCCTCAAGGACTTGGATTCAGCCTTGAAGCATTCTTTCCACTGCTTATATCTAGCTTCTACCTAACACTTTGAAATGTCTGTACTTGGTAGAGGATCCTACTTCAGTTTTTTCAGATTGTTGCTTCTGCTAGCTAGGACAGTGTTGTAAAGGAGGGTTTTAAGTCCTTTAATTGCATTCAGCATGTTGTTACCATCCTAAAAGACACTGTGTTCCTTGTGGTTATTAAAACATTCCTGTTTAATAAAGAAACACTCTTCATGTATACTCTAAGCTAATTGCTGTTGAAGGTGCAGTTTCGGGAAATAGCAATAATGAAAAAACATGGCTTAAGATTGGCCAGTTTTATTTTGTTTTGTTTTATTTCTGCTGTTTTAGGACTGGAGGTAACAAGAAAGAACAATGAGCTTCTCTTATTCCACCTTCCTATGCCATCTCTGTCATTTATTGCTTTGAAACTGTGGCCACTGTAAATGAGACATGGTTTCATGGTTGCCTTCCAAAATGGAGTGTAAAGATGAGGGGCCCCATGCTTCCATTACAACCTTCTCAGAAGATGGAGAGATGAGAGTTCTTTTCCTTTTTGGTTAATTTTTGCTCATTAAATTGTCCAGTTTAATGGAAATGTTGAGGGTGGTATGTAAACATTGTAGCAGGGATTATCTGGGTTCTTTTAGTGACTCTTAGGAGACTATTCTAATTTTAACTATAATGTGACATTTAGAAAGGCAGTTTCTGTTTTTCCTTTTTTAAACTGTCTTTAATTTTTATTGATTTTTAAAGTTTATTTTGAGAGAAAGAGAGAGAATGTGTGAACAGGGGAAGGAAAGAGAGCGCAGGAGAGAAAGAATCCCAAACAGGCTCCGCGCTGCACTGTCAGCACAGAGCTATGCTGGGCTCGATCTCATGAACCATAAGATCATGGCCTGAGCTCGATCTCATGAACCATAAGATCATGACCTGAGCATAGATCAAGAGCCAGATACTTAACCAACTAAGCCACCCAGGTGACCCATAAACTAATGTCTTTAAAAAACCCTTTTAGTGTTTTTTATTTATTTCTGAGAGAGAGAGAAAGAGGCAGCGTGAACAGGGGAGGGTCAGAGAGAGAGGGAGATATAGAATCTGAAGCAGGCTCCAGGCTCTGAGCTAGCTGTCAGCACAGAGCCTGACGTGGAGCTCCAACCCACGAGCCGCGAGATCATGACCTGAGCCAAAGTCAGATAGATGCTTAACCGACTGAGCCACCCAGGCACCTCGACTAATGTCTTTTTAAATGTGTCCATAGTACTTGGTTTTGGGCCAGAGGTTCCAGAGTCTAGACCCTCTGCCATTTCAGATTTGGGCAAAAGGTGGAACAGAGTACTACAATGGGTAACAACTAGGTGTTCCCAGTGGAATATTGAGGGTGAAGGCCCTACTGCAGTGGCTCTGTCCTTCAGGGAGCTATGTTTAGGTGCTAGTTGTGTGGTGTGACACAGAAAATAAATAAGCAGGATACCTTTTTATCTAGTCTCAGTTTTCTAGGCACAGGCCAGAGAACCACAGCCATATTCCTCAAGTTCAAGGTATGGAGTGTGGCATCTTTATGACTGTGCTTGGTAGAACAATGTTAATACAAAGATATACTTTTGTAATTAATTCTAATAGTAAATTTTATCAACACATATCCAGTTACTTAACAAGTTTGCTTTTTAAATCCTGAATATGTTACCTTTTCCAGTTATATTTTAGAAATTAATTTTTCAATTTTCATCTAATGATTGAAATTACTGAGCTAGAAGAAAAAAAATCATCTCATGTTGCTGGTAATATAAACTTGATATTTGGATTATAGCACTGTGTTAGATTTAGCTTTCTGGAGTGAGAACTTTATTAAACTGTAATCATTTGATTTTCAGATAAGCAAGTTTGATGATCTAACTATTACCTGTTTTTCTTGTCTTGTATTTTCCATTTTAGGAAACATCCCAGTCATCTGGACTCCCTGAGTATGTTAAAATAGTAGAAGTTGGACCTAGGGATGGATTGCAGAATGAAAAGGTAGTTTGATACTAGTTTAACATAGTAATTCCAAGTGCTAAACCAAAATATTTATTAAAATTCTAGTCTTAGATGGGTTTCATATATTACACGATTATGTTTGTTCTCAATTGCTACTTAAATTTATGCATCTTAAATATGATTTACTTTTGTTAGGAAGTAATTTTCTATTTATGTTTCAATAGACCCTATGTGAATTACTTATAATTTTTAATGCTTTCATAGGTTATAGTTCCTACAGATATAAAAATTGAATTTATCAATCAACTTTCCCAAACTGGCTTATCTGTAATAGAAGTGACCAGCTTTGTGTCCTCCAGATGGGTACCACAGGTACGTAAATGCATAATTCCTTAATTGAATCTTTAAGTCAACTTTGCCAAGATTTAGCCAAAGATTTGCCAAGATTTAGCAAATTGTAAATTTTAATGTTAACCTATTATTATTAATTTACTATGTTTTTTTTTTCAAAATATTAGCCCATGCATTGAGACATTATTAAAGAGAAATCCCTATGATGAAACATCTATGTCTTAAGTCCTAAAAAGTTTTGGGAACTCCATCTCAAGCCATCCTGAGTATATGGTCCAATATAATGAGTAGATAAGGTTCTTAAATAGCAATTTAGGAGCCTGCTGTCAATTTACCACTTTACTGACTTCATGACTAATCTAAATATCACTGTTCCCCACTGCTTAGTGCCTAGTAAGTAGGTATTGTGAAATGAATGATGAATCAATCAGCCTGAAATAATCATAACACGTCACTTTGAATTTTTTGGTATGGACAGCTGACTCTTAACTTTTTGTTCATGTATTTGGTTCTGTGTAATGAAGACCACAAATACTTTCCTTAGGAAGGCACAAAGAGCTTTGGGACACTAGACCTATTTCCTTGACAATGGTCATTTTGTAAAATCGCTCACCATTATTTTATGAGCTATCATTAATTTTAAGGGAATGTGAGCCCCTTGTATCATACTTAAGTCTTTATGAAATTGCCTCTGTTTGATTCAATTAGTGTTCACTTCACAAATTTGATTACTGTTGAAGAAAAACTAGAAAGGTGTAACTTTGGCATAATGTCGGGAAAAAGAGAAGTTATTGGTAGTATTAATTGATGACCAATCACAGTAGTATTTCAGATACTAAAGTTTACTAAGTCCTATTCAAGATATTTTTTATTTTCCAATGTTTTTATAAGACTGCTTACAAAATATTCTTCTTTACTGAGATGATGCGAATTGTCACCAATTGTCACATTCTATTATATAACCCTGGAAATTGTCTGATTATTCTTGACACTAATCTAGGACACATTCAGTAACATTTAGAAAGATGAACCTTTCATGAGGGCCATACTTCCTGTTTAGCTGGTTTAGAGGAAAGATGGTCAGAGCAAAAGGGAAGGCAGTCTCTCTGTATACAGTAATAGGAAAATGCTTTCTGGTCTCATATTAAATAGATATGTGATAGGGCCATAAAACAAGATGACTTATTCTAGGCTTGGTCTGAAGGTAAACTCAGGACCTAATCTATTGAGATATAATGAACACTTCCTAGGCTCAACTCAATAATGAATAATTCAATTCATCATTATTGAATAAATGATGGAATTCCCAATGTAGCTCTTGAGGACAGCTGTGGTGAGGCAGAAGTACCTTTGGTACTGTGTCCCTGTCCACATTGTGCCTTGAGCTTGAGTAAGTGACTTAACCTCTTTGGACCTTGGAAATCCCAGCGATGCTTCCTATAGTATGGGAGTGTTGAGGGCAATAAGGCCCATGAATGGACTCCTGCCTATGAGTGCCCAGAGTCCAGAGCACGTGGCTCTGACCGGTTCTCAGTAGGGTTATCTGAGTGATTGCCTGACTCACAGATGGACTGACTGACCCTGAATTCCACACAAGTTAGCTTCCTTCTTTTTCATAAAAAGTCATTTTCTTAGAGATGGAAGTATGTGTTTAGTTTAAATACTGGATCAGACAAGCCTGATCTGAATAATTGAAGATACTTATTCAAACACTAAATAATATGTTAGGTATTTCACTTTTAATTCTCATGTGGTTACATGCATAACAGTGTTTTAAATAAATGTGTTAAAAATCTGTAAGAAATTGGTGTGTCTGAATCAAAGATATTACCAGATGGAGTCTTCCCAAGTTATACCAGCCATTTTCTAAAGGACCTGTCAACATACTGAGGTCTTTTCAAAGGGCAATTTCGAGAACATCCCATTTTTTAAATGTGATTTTCCATAGTTGTGCTTGTGCTTTAGATTTCATTGAGCTGGCCTGCACAGAGCAGTTTTTATTGTAGTTGGTGATTGTCTCATCATGTAATTCTGCCGGTTGCATTGTTTTCATGTGAACAGAAAAGGGTGTGAAATCAGAATGAATTCATAATGCTAATTTCTCTTTGGAAATTTTACCTTGTAATCACTCATTTTTGAAGAAAACCTTATGACATTAGACTCCTCTAACTTAAAATCATGTCTGAGATGTGACACAACAGTTTTAGTGCAACTGCTGATGGATAATTGTCTGAAGTGATTTGTACTTCTTCTAAAGATGGTGAGTGTAGCTATAAATCGGTGTTCTCTTAGTTCCCTGCATTTTCTTCTGTTTCCTTTCCTTAAACATAGGTCATGGGAATAGTCCTCTAGTTTATGTTTAGATTGCTGCTTGTTCACTTATTCTTTTTTTAGCGTTTTAAAGCGTTTTTACAGTTGCCGCCCACTGTTGTGTTTGGCAGCAGCTTTGTAAGACAGCTAAAAGAAAAGTTCCACGGTAGCAGGGTCCCCTATAAAACAGGATCCCACACCTATCATCTAAATGGCCAGAGATGATAAAATACTTGCCATTTAAAGAAAAAGAAAAAAAAAAAAAAAACCACAACATGTTCTTTACAACTTATCTGGAAAAAAAAAAGGTTTCCTTAGAGTGACATATAATACAAGAACATTTGAAATGAATCCAGATAGTCTCTCACTTTTATGGAATGAATAATAACAGCACAAAGAAAACATGTTTATAAAAATAGGCATACTGCAACTTTGGAAGGTGGCTCTTTAGTAGTAAGCTATTTAAATCATGATAAAGACAATAATTTCAAAAAGTGAACTAGTGTTTTATATTCATGTTATTTAGCTATTTGGTTTTAAATGTTTTCATTCACATGAGTGATGAAAGTGAAAATCATTTATGGAAAAATAAGAATACATTAAACATATATAACACTGTGTGTTTCCATAGGCCACAGGCAGAGTCTCAGCAAATGCTCCCATTTACGTTCATTTTTAACTGTTGGAAAAGGTGGGTCCCAAGTTCGTGACATGGACAGAGATTTTTCTCTGTAAAAGTAAAAAGACATATACTTAAAAGACTGTAACAATTACTTACAAATTTGTTAAACACTTGAAAATATGACCTAAGCACAATGTGAACAACAAGGAATGCGTAAACATTTCCCAGCCCTCCTTTCAGTGTGTGATGGTATTCTTTATTAGTAATGAAAATGGTTACTGGATTGAAGTTTCAGGTTCAGATTTACATTGATGAGATGCAGGAGGCTGTAGCTTCTACTTCTGAGTGTCCTGCTTCTCTTCCTGGCTCTGCCCTTGTTGAATGAATGGGTATGTGGAGAAGAAGCTTGGAAAAGGGTATTTTAACATAGATGTTGAGAGTGTGTGTGTATGTGTGCGTGTGTGAGATAGAGCGCCTCAGAGGTTGAGAGAGCACGTGCATATGCACCCAGCCCCCTGAGTATTTTGCTTAGGAGGCACAGTTAAGTGACAGGGTAATTTCATCATCTGGGAAGTGTTCCAGTGCAAGTCCCATCCATTATACCCCGATGGGTTGGCTTCTGCTACCTCCCCAGAGAATATGCAGGAGAAATTTACCAAGAGTACAGTTTTGTTTCAATGTAACAGGAGTCCTTGTACACAGATACAAGGGTGAGCTAAAGGAGGAGCATTTAACCCTAACTCTCTTCAGTGGAGGCTGCCTTAGTGTGCTCACTTCTGTATTTAGAATACTCTTAGCTGCTACTACACGCTAAGAATAATGAATTTTCACTTAACTGCTGCCCTACTGTGTACCTTTATACCTTCCACATGTCATTTCTATAGTAGAGATGTGTCTGGTCAATTACCACAGTCAGCATCAGGCACCTGCCAGTTAGGATCACCAGAATAGTCATTGGTGATGTCTTCATTTCCTTTTCTTATCTCCTGAATTTGTAGTCATGGTACAGATGCTACACGTGTACCACATGCTGCTTCCTTACAAAAAGCTTATATGGAAGGCTTATATTTAAGGATTTTTTGTTTTTAGCAATAGCTTCTAGCTGTATTAGACTTTTTTAAAAAATTATTTGAGCATGTTGAATTTCATACTTGTCAAATAATAGGTCAATGTTTGTGCAATAGTTGATCTCAAAGAAAAATAGACACACAGGTCTTGAGCAAATGAGCTCTGATAGTTATAAAAAGTAAATGAGTGCCTTTTTCTCTGTCTCTGTCTCTCCAAAAATTAAAAAAAAATGTTAAAAGGGGGAGCCTAGAAGTGGGCAACTGGGTGGCTTAGTAGGGTTAGCATCTACTTCTTGATTTTGGCTCAGGTCATGATCTCAAGGTTTGTGGGATTGAGCCCCTTGTCGGGCTCTGCACTGACAGCACAAAGCCTGTTGGGATTCTCTCTCCCACTCTCTCTGCTCCTCTCTTTCTCTTTCTCTCAAATAAATAAACATTAAAAAGGGTGGGGGGTGGCACCTGGGTGGCTCAGGCAGCTGAGTGTCTGGCTCTCAATTTTGGCTCAGGTTATGATTCCAGGGCTATGGGATCAAGCTCCATACTCAGTATGGAGTTGCTTAAGATTGTCTCTTGTTTCTCTGCCCTTCTCCCAACTTGTGCTCGCTCTCTCTAAAAATTAACAGAAAAGTAAATGGGGGCCTTTTAGTTTTGTTGATTGTTTGTATTTTGATAAGGTCCTAATAGTCCATTTTTGCTTTTGTTTTCCTGGTCTCTGGCAATGTGTCTAGTAAGAAATTTCTATAGCCAAGATCAAAGAGGTTGCTGTACATATTCTTCTCTAGGATTTTGATGGTTTTCTGTCTCACATTAGGTCTTTCATATATTTTGAATTATTTTTGGTGTAAGGAAGTGGTCCAATTTCATTCTTCTGTATGTGGCTAGATGGGTGATGGGTATTAAGAAGGGCACTTGTTAGGAGGAGCACTGGGTGTTGTATGTAAGTGATCAATCACTGAATTCTATGCCTGAAACCAATATCACACTGTATGTTAACTAACTAGAATTCAAATAAAAATTTGGAA